AGCTTCTTTTTTATTGGATTACTTTACATATTTTCATTAAATACGTCAATTTTTATAACAAATCTGACAATCATGTGTATTTTTTGTTCTCCCAAAGTGATTTAATCGGACAAGCTCTATTAAACGACTGTAATGTTGTACATTTCCCGTGATTATACAATTACAACCATTTGGTTTTAAAAAAACATTTGGTGCGGGGGCGCATACAATATTTTAATGTAAAATTTGAAAGAGTTGTCTTTTACTACAAGACGCTCTTTGAGACACTAGACCTAAAGAAGATTATAGGTCAAAAAATACTTAGAGGAAATGTCACTCTTAATCTTTTTTTGCGATCATAGCAGTAGGTATTATTACATATTAGGTATTCCTTAACAAAAGATAAACTGTTGTTTAAAATATCATTGTGCAAAGAACTTTTGAATATGAACTTTCAACATAAACGTTTAAACGTCACATATAGCTTTTATTTAACAATTTGTTGTCAAACTTAAAACATATCCATGATTGTAATTGAGAAATTTACTTACAATAGATTTTTAGAACTACGAAATGTGTCTATGAATTATTTTTATAAGCTTTTACATTCACATTTTAAATAACTTAAAACAGCTCTAAAAAGCTGCCGCAAAATAGAAATTTTTAATAAAATAAAAAGGAAAATGTTGAAAACATAGTAAAATTATATTTAAATATATCTTTATAATAATAACGGGATAAAGATGTTTGTATTACTGAGTTTATTTTACTTTAAACATGTAATTGAGAAAAATCATTAAATTATACTTAAGTTTTAACTCAAAATTATATCAATAATATTATACATTTTTTATTATTTATGATCTTTTATTTGAACAGTTTTAATGCTTTGTATATTAATGATTTCTTTTTAAATTAAAATTTCAATCTACCATAAAATTTTATTTGATGGTAATGATCACTTTAGATCGTACACCTAATTTTATGAACCATATTCTTTATGTCTTAACTGGATGAGACGAGTATTTTTATTGCAAACTACTATTACATTCACATAATTTTTATTTATCTATTTATTTAATTATACAACAAGTAATTGAAAAATTATTTCATTCGACGAATAGGTTTTTTCGAATTATTTAGTCGAAATTTTATGTTTTTTTTATATTTTAATGCTAATTAACTACGCTGTGACTTAATATTATCAAATAAATCACGTTAGATAAATAATTGAAAAAATAAATTTTTATGAAATGTTGATTGATACTGAAACTATTAGATTCAAGAGAGGAAAAAAATTTAATATTGCTAAATCCTAATTATTTTTTTTATTAAAATTGAAATGTGTTTAAAAAAATAACTATAAGCGCACATTTTAATCGAGTCTTCAAAATTAATTGCTTAATAAAAATACGTTTTTGTGGCAGTTAAAGAGTTGCAAAAAAAAACGGCATATCGATGTTTAAATTTAATGTAATTTGAATAAATATTATAATAGTATATGCAAGTGAATTAACATTGATAAATTTGTAAATTGAAATACCTATTGCAATTATTTCTAATAGCTAATATAAAAAGTTTACATAAATTGTCATATACATGTAATTGACACGTGGTAAATAAATGTATAATAGTATCACTCGTATAAGAATAAAAAAAAAAACGTTTATTCACGTCCAGCGTTAAAGTCACCTGGTCGCCCGTAGGCGTTTCAGTATTTGTCATTCATCAAAATCATTTCGAAATAATTCGAAGATAAAGTGGTTAGGCAACTTTATAATATAGAAATCTCACTTGCACTAGCTGTCCCTCAACAATATATTTTGTCTATCTCTGATAACACCACCGGTTTGACAGCTGCTGTGTACGACCTTGTGCAAATAACCTGCAAGTTCTGCAAAAAGATCATATCTCAGCGGATCATTAAATGTGTTTACACTCATTTTGACGTTCAAGTCGCCGGAAACAGATTAACAAACAGCATCCAAACACCTCCGTAATATTACTGAGTATATTATTCACAACAAATAGTGAATCTTCAACTGGTTTTCCTACGCCTCTTCTACGTGCTCTGCATTTAAATACAAAAAACTATTAAAACTGCAAACGTTTATCCGCGAACATATTATTATTTTTATGTACGTTATGACCAATGTCTCACACTGCGGTTTTCTACCAATAGTCATATATTACATGTAATTGGCGATTAATGCCATTTTCGTTTTCCTTGTAGCAACATCCTCATAATTGTACATCAATTATTTTATATTGTGCCGCGTGCGGTTCAAGTAATTTCCTACCGGTTGCGATTCATAGTATTAGTATAGCATAGTATTATTGAAGCTCTACACCGAACCGACGACAAGCAGAATCATCCGTCGACTGCAACACGCGGCGATTTTTTTATATTAATAAGCAGCGAGTACGTCCATTAGTATTGCGCCAGGCTCGTGTGCTTTTATTAGTTAGCGACAATATAATTGGTGCCAGTCGATTAGCCGTGTCGGACGCACATCACTAAACCAATAAATCCTATAACTATAACAGGCTGTTGTTAACAGTCATTTATACGCGCTGCGGCCTATGGGAGCTCCGTTTGCCGTCAATCAGTCGGACACACACGCGCGCGTAAATATGTTGGCCGTCATGCGTGTGCACATCACTACTTGTAATTTTTGTTGATAAGCCCAATGATGAGCAGTACCTCGGCCACTGCGGTTCGCATACGCCGAGATTTCTCATTGGATCACGTACGCGTACGAGAGCAGCTAATATTCACACACATGCAACCCGTGTACGTTTCCATAATGGAAAAACACATTAGCATCCGTGTATCGTTTTGAATATCATATGAAACGTGTTATTACCGCGATTTCGGTACACATACTACAAACGCGGTATACGCGGGGCTTCGTATGTTGTCTACATTACTCCGTGACCCACATCGTGTGCGTATTGGATTACCCTCCGGAAGGCTTGGGAAGACGGACGGTGTTAGGTGTTATCTGGTCGCGCACCACCCAGTGCGAATGTAATTATGCGAGAAACGCAAATAGAAAAATAGGAAGTTTCTTATTACTCGTATCGCGTGTACATCGAAATGGAAAATCTTTACCAAATATGGACATCGCAGCGTTATGCATACTATTAATCAACTTTGCCGAGCAGAATTAACTAATAACACAATTGAACCTTGGCGGCTCCGAAGATCCAACACTAGATAAAATTTCCAATCGAACAACGTTGAGCTCGTCTGCATAAAAACAACGCAATTCAGTTTCTTATTACAAATCTCGTCCGAGAAAAATTGCAAATCACTGTAACAGTCATGGGAATCGTACGCGATATGTGCCATCGATAATTAGTGTAATCGTCGAGTGCGCATTCCGTACGCACAATGCACGCAAACGGCTGTCGACGAGCGGTTTACGAATTTTCGAGTAAAAAAACCCCGTGAGAAGTGGACGCTCGGGGGCGACTTGCAGAAGGCTGTACGGTAGCCGGTGATACGATCGACAAACAAATTTGTCCGGCCCAAAACCAGTTGTTTTACCTTAATGTTCCGATGATAATTATTGTGAGAACTCGCACAGAGCAAAGGACAGGCTTTAGAAAATAACCGATATACATATTTTTTTTGTGGTACCAACAAAAAACTTGCACGCTTGAAATGATAATATTTGGCCGGTCTGCGGTGCGATAATCAGCGTTGGTTCTCACGGTGGATCGCAAAATCGGAAGACTACACTACTAGTTGATGATGGCACATCATTAAAAATGCCATCTCGTTATAACAACCAATTAAAACGTGTTTGTTAATCATCGACCCATCGCCAACATTGTCCTTAATATATATATTTTTTTTACATCTATACGCGACTTGATCTCTTTTTTTGTTTTTTTTGTCTTCTATCTCACTCGTGCCACCGTTGCATGGACGTACGATTTTCGTTTGGACGTTTTTCGACTTTCTATATGCAAAGTGAAATCATCGACATCTGTTCCAAAATTGGACCGATTACGGGTCGCACATCGAGATGACGCGTAGAGCTGTTGTGTTGAGAGCAGTGCGTTACAGTAGCGAAAGCAAACGCCATCTCACACGCGTAACAAACAATACTAAAAAACCAAAAAAATTTCACTTGTTTTACATCATATTTTTTTTAACAAATTATTTTAATTAGATTAACTACAATTCTCTACGATTCCGTCACGCCCGACTACCGATACTCTTTCAACCTGAACGCCAACGTGCCAGTAGGTACCGTAGCCGCAACGAAACAAAATCAAATTGATGTCGTTAGATTAACGCATAAAAAATATAATTATGTTTTATTATAAAATAATGCTTACCATAATTTGACAGTGGCATCATTTTCCCTCGCACACCAGTTCCTTGAACATAAGAAAATAGTGTGTCTGCTAAGGACGTTTTTTTCCCTGACGAGTACCACCACCGTTAAATATCACCAGAAAAATAAATCTATAGGTTAAAAAAAAATTACAAGCGACAATTATTTGAAACTCGAGTTTTTTTTTAATTTTATCGCGCTAATGTCGTAGACACGCCTTTTCATGTGTTTTATATTGAAATAAAACTGATTATTCTCATTCGTTTTTTTACATTCGATCATTTCCAACGAAGACGAGGTGTTTTACTTGTACAATTGGACAAACGAAACGAATCCAAACAAATTGTATTTTACTCGATAGCATCTTTTCGTCATTGATGATCGGTCGTCATTAAACTATCCGCTGTTAATTAACTAACCTCCAATGACTGTTCTATGCCAGTTTCTATTTGTGAATACATTAAATCGCGGAAGTCATTACTATGGAGTATCCCAGCGATGCGCATCGTACAGCGATCAAACGCGTCTCTACTGTGATGATGCGGACGGTGTCTAATTAAAACATCTGCGTACGTTCGATAGAATTACCCGTCGCATACTTATTAGCCGCACAGTTCCCACGACATATTCTACTCGTTTGCTCATAAACGTATTATTTTATTATTTCAGAATTGAAAACTGCAGGCGTGATTGTTACAAACATTGCTGTGTACGCCCTGGATCTCGGCTGTCCGTAGATGATCTATTAATCAGGTATGTAAATACATTTACGACCATGTATGTGTAAACACGCAATGCCCGTGTCGGTGTAATAAAATAATAAACTCGTTAATCGCACCGGTGCAACCCGAAAAACAAACAACGCACGGAGAAATCGCCTTTAAGTCATTATACTAATTATAATAAGATATTATAATTAGTCGTTACATATTCTATGCGTATTTTGCTATCAATGAGCTTGCGGCTCCGTCGTGTCAGCAGACACGCGTTTTTCATATTTATGTGGTAACTGGATATTATGATTTTTTTCCCCAGTGATATTTTTACACTTCAAAAATATGTATGTTTATAATTACGTTAGAAAATAACTCGTGATATAATGAAACAATTCACTTTTTTTTTTTTTGTATTTTATTATAAAAATATGTTTAGTGCCTGTCCGTGTTAATTTGTCATTTATAGAGCAAGTCAAAGTCAAAGTTTTCTATTCTTAATGAAAAATTCTAATTTGCTCTTCTTTCCACGTGAACTAAATTATGAAAACGTCAAATTAGTTAAATGACGATAATATTTATAGTTTTTGTAAAATATTCGTTTTAATAAAATCTTACGTTCTATACGTATAATCAATTTATTTTATCGTACCCCACTCGGCGATTTCTTCTGCGTTTTAGGATAACTCTTCTATTGATAAATATACTCTTGTCGAGTCGAATACGACATGGGTTGCAGTGTCATCAGTACTCAACAGCAGTGAACTGAAGCATTAAAAAAATCGTAAAACTAGTTTTCGATTACATGCAAAATCAAATGATTTATACTACACCGGATTTTCACACACACACACTCTGTGATCATTTACGATACTGTGAGAAACGTATTTATTAAATTTTATGTGTAAATGTTTACGTTTGCGAAATGAGTGGACAGAAAACATCAAATTTAAATATTCAACAGCGGGTGCGCTGGGGCGGCCGATTTCAATAATATCTTAATAAACGTTGGAAAAATATTAATAACGCCGTTGCGTCACGGGAGACATCTACTTACTTAGTCAACATGGTTTTTATACCAGTAATATATTGCCCCGAGTATAAGCCCGACACGGTATCTTAAATATAATAGTAACACTGTAGACCACGACGATCGGGTTGCGTGCTCTCCTCTGGGACGTATCGTTTAAATACCGTTGGGCGCGTGTAAATAAATTTCGTTCATATTTTGGCTCATCCCGTTTGAAATTTCGCCGACCGTGACTTTTATATGTGTTTCGGCGTTTTAATAAACCTCCCGTGTAATTGCCGTCGTCGCACACGAAGATCGAACGTATTTAAATTAGTGTGGTGGCTCAGAATCGGTGGCTGTGTCGGTATAATAATAATATGCATGTTACATTCGGTGTGTATAAAAAGCGTTATATGTTCAGCTAATGCGCTTGACTTGGGCTATGGCTGTGACGTGGGTGGTTTGAACCAGCGTGCAAAACTCCACCGCTCTGCCTTCGGGATAAATTTTAATCAACTGACCAGGCTTGGAACACCGACCAGCACGCTAGATCACGTTCGAACGATATACACTTTTTTTAATATTACCTATTATCTTCTTCATTTATAAGTTAAAATTATTACAGTCGGTAGGCACGGCGGTAGTCGGTACTGATTTAATGTCCTGTAGTAGACTCGCCCGAAAAGGGAGTCATTCTTTTTTATCCGGTCCGGCGACATGTTTGCCGTCGGTTTTTTTCTTGTCGTTTAACAACTGGTCTACCGGCCAAAGGACAACATTAGTGAACAACATGCAAGTGTAAAACAATCGTTTATTTTTATTAATTATATGGAGTGTTCATACCTGATATTATCGTTGAAAGTATACGTTTTTTATCGGAAGTTTTTAGTGGAATAATTTTACAGAGCTAAAATGTTCGACTGCATTAGTGTGAACGTTGAGTTGTGACAAAGATGTTGAGGAAATCCGATGAACGTCTGCATTCTGCGGATAAACGTCTTTTGGCATTAAGTTCATCGAGACTTATACAGCGAATGCCAAACCGCGACATGTCGAGGTTGGTGTCCAGTAATAATCGCCCTGGCTGCATATATTGCCTGTATTTGTATACAACATGCAAATGCACTTACCGCACGTCGATCCAGTTACCTATCTTGCACAGGTACGTGTATCAAATATCTAAAAATGCGCATAACACGCGCCTGGCAATGTTCCTGCGAACTCGGTCGTTGGCAAAATTATATCGTAGCTGAATTAAAATAAACATAAATACAGTCGAAAAAATAACTGTAGTGCTTACAACGCGATTTTGTTTATGTTTCGTTTACATCTTAATGGATAATACGTTCAAATCCTCTGCACTTCCAGTCAGATGATTTTTATTATACACATATGTTCGTCTTCATTATATGCATGTAAAGTTCAAATCTGTCGTATGAAAAAAATACTTTTCTCGTGTATACTTGGATTTTTTGCGCTAAAACCGATCACGAAGAGCCGTTTGTTAGCACTAGATGACCTCTGTAAATTTGTGTAATCAACTTGCGAAGTCGTGACACGAATTTTACTTCAACATCTGAATTATATGTACATAATCTAGACAAAATATTACAACGAAAACATGTTAATCGTAGCAAAACAAGGAAATTCGTCGTTTAATTATTTATTTTATTTTAATATTTTATGATGGTATACAGTATTATTGAATAAAAGTATTAAAAAATAAAAACCATTAAAAATGAATTCAATGCGAAAATAATGCAACTCTAATACTCGTTGCTCTTCTATTATAGTGAAACGACTGTTCATTAATGGGTGAAAATGACGACGAAGATTTATTTAATTTTTTATTATCGTCCACCATAATGATCATAGTAATGCCCAAATTGTGGCATCGTATTATAAATAATTCAAGTGGTTACTCTAAATACGTAAATGTTCACTTTTTTTGTAAAAATTATTTCTACATAAACGTACGAATAATTGTACCTAGTCCATTGGTTTTAACATCATCTCATAAGCTACCTTAGCAAAATACATGGAAATAATTAAACCGTTTAATGAACCTCGTTAAGTTATTTTAAATTAAATTAGTTATGAACGTAATGCACGGACAAAAGAAAATACCAATCGTGTCATTTATTCAATCAAGTACGAGTTGTTAAGCAGCGCTTAATCGTGCGCCGTTTTAATTGACTCTCTAGTGTCTACAGGAACAATCTTCTTTATTATAAACGTCATTATTATAATTAAAATATAAACTGGAATAGGTACATAATAGAATAACGAGAAGAAAAATGATTTTTATGCGCGTGTTAGATTTTTGATCTGGTACCGTCACAGTTTATATAAGAACACGGTCCGTTTTTATAGAACTATTGGGCAAGCACAAAACTTATTGTTACTACCATCATCATAATCATCATTACAGTTAAAAAAAAAAATGCGTTACGACTGGCGTGCGGTCTTTGAAGGCGCAATGAAACGTTAAGCTATGTGTGTCTTGCACAGCAATCAATGGTCACATTACAATACGGTAGGTAAAAAGAAAAAGACAGCGCGCCATGACTCGGCGGTGTGTTTTACACTAGGGCCTTATTATCAACTTGAAATATTATATTGTTCTCGGCGGATGCTTCTGCCTCCCACACCGAGCGGTTTCAACAACACCAGTCCTCATCGATTTCATTGCGCCGCTAAACGGCGACTAGGTTTTAATATTCTTTTGCTCTGTATAATGTCGTTCACTCGAGTAGTGTGTGTATTGTACGCGTTAATAATACACTGCAGTGTATAGCTCCTTGATCCTTGACTCCTCTGCGTGGAGATTACGGCCGACGGTCGTAAGCTACAACGGAGCGGCATCCGTTATTGTAATGTATACGTGTTTGCAGGCGACGGTTGCGGTTGGAATCGGTTGCACAACGTCGACTTTATCAAAACAGTATTGTTGCTCGGTGTATTATGTCGATCAAAAACACGGTGACTTGTGTGGATGACTCGAGGTTACATTGCGTTAAAAAAAAAAAAAAAAAAACGTCGACTTAACGGCAAGCATGCGTTATAATGGAGAATGTGTTTTTGATGAACACGAGCTCTTGTGTCTTAAGTACATCAATCATATTATTTTGCCGAGACTGTGTCGCTAATTGAAAGGAAATTGTTGTGATAGTCATCACATGGCTTTCGTGTAAAAAATTCGCTCGGATACGAAGAAGTTCATTTATTATGTAAAAGAAAAAAATTCATTCGGCACAGCCGCCAGTGATTGATTTATACGCACAATGTCGTTCGCGGTTGGAAATAAGTACATAACGCAGGTATATATGATATGATTTATGGCTTTCAAAACCAACGATCATTGTGTGTAGACCTTACAGTCTAGCCACTTTGTTAGCTCGTGCGCGTATTAGGTAACTAAGGTACAACGAGCCGACACAGATTCACAAAAGCTGTAGTACACTTGCCCAAGTTGTATGTTTTTGGTGAAAGCGGTCGAAAATTATTCATTTCCATAGGCCGCCGTGGTCGCGTTACCGTATGCCTCCTAATGACAAACGGTTGAACAATATTCACGTTCGCCAAGACCAGTAATCGGTAATCTTAAAAAGACCTAGCCCAGTTTCTAGACGGGCACCGTGAATCCTTTGGCCTGGCCCAACACCTGAGGATCGAAACCAACGTTTGCATTTGTGTAAAAAACACTGAGTGAATGTCACGTTTTTACGCATACGAGATCGCGTATATAATCTCACGACAGCATAACTAGTTGGAAGCTTCGGGCGTCGTGTGTCGCTAGCCGTCAGTCCGGTATTTGCGCTCCGCCCCTGTAGTAGTCGCCCTACCGAAAATCTACACCAATGTATAATCTAAGTAACATAATGTGATACAGATTTTAGATACGTGTCATGCACGGGCCTAACAATCTACTGGGAATTTTCGCTCGAGGCTCCTGTAAGTCACGAGGACCACGCGATTTTAATTCAACAGTATCTATCAAAAAATACAATATAATATCATAATAACAT